GCTCATTACGTGCTTAAGGGGACGAATCGGCAAAAAAAAGTAGTTCTCATAGCCACTGTCTGCCCTGCGGCTTTCCATTAAACCTCCTTTCTTTCTTTTCGCTGGATTTGCTTGAACTATTAAAAGGAATAAAGTCTGCAGCCAAAATTTATCTCGATCGTAAAATTTTGATTTTCGAAAATTGTATCAGAATAACTTCAAAATTCGACTTTCAAGAATCGATTTTATTTCACGTATTAAAATATTGACATTATCTGGTATTTATTTTCATTTATCGATACCTCAATTATTTATTGTTGGAAAAGGCCCAGTTCTTCCTGATGTTGGGCCTGACGTCGCACGCCCTCTACGCGAACTGCCCCTTCCCTCGGGACTTCCTCTGGTGGATCCTCTGCTATCTCCTTTCGCTGATCGCCCTCTTCCTCAACTTCTACATTCGGGCCTACGGGCTGAAGAGGCGCGAAAGGCGATGGAGGATGCGGAACGGGAAGTTCCCGGTCATCCGGGAGGAGAGCGAAACGGGGCCGGACAGCGAAAACGAAGGCGGGAGACGGATCAATGGCATTTGCTATCACACCAAGTTGGATTGAACTCGCCTGTGCCTTCCTGTGGTCCTTAGTTTATTTTTCCATGCAGACTCTGAAATACTCAATCGATTTTTGTGATGAGATGCGCGAGGTTTTTATTGTTGTCAACAATCGAAGCCTGTATTCAGGGTGGATGAGTCGATTCCACTCGCTTGTCGACCTCGATTGTGAGTTACCTGACTTTTTCCGACTCGTTCCCGTTCGATGATCCCTGAAGCTTGTTTGGAACAATAGGAGCATGCCATGCCCGTCTGTCGTGTGCCCATCCTGGCGGCTGAACCCAGGAAAAATTATCAAACCGGAGGCAGGACATGAAATATCCTTCCGTGAGACATCGGATGTGGCATCCTTCCATGAGACATCCGATGAAATATCCTTCCGTGACACATCCGATGAGGCGTCCTTCTGATACGAAAATGGATTCTCTCAGCATCTCCTGTCGAATCTGGATTTCGAGAAGTCAAGGGATGGAAATTCCTTCAGCAACTCCGGCGAGGGCAGGGAGACCGAATGAAAGAACTTTGACAAGGAAACCGGGAGCATCTTGGACATCTGCGGGTGGACACCAAGATCCAGGCCACGAAGATGAAGGAAATCGACCTGCAATGATCGACTCAACAGGCCCGTCAGGTTTCCTCATATGGCATTGAGGATGATGAACCTCGCACCCTTGCATGCTCTCACGCTGCATTTCATCGTCGCCATGAAATTAACACCGTATTTAGGAACCCTATAGTTGGCTTACGGAGCTTCCATCATGGTGAAATCCCACTGGGGAAGTGCCAGGTGGGTGAAAACTGAGATCCGGAGACTGCGGCTCAGTTGATGGCCAGCTCCGTGCCGGTGGGAGTGACCTGGACCTCAGTCCTCTGCCCTCCATCTCAGGCTGCAGGGTCTTCTGATCCTTGGCCTCGCAGGCGCAGGCATTTATGCCATCGGTTTTTCGCCGTCCTCTTCTCAGACTCCTGATTGGCCTATTGGTCTTCGCTTGCTTCTCGCCACTGCCGCCATTCTCTGCATCCTCCTTACTCTCCTTTTTTGTCTCGCTCAGCCAATCCAGCAAGACATGGAGCCGTTCTCGTCGCCGCTTACGCCATCGCTCACTCATTAAGCGAGAGTATGAAATCCATCCGTTGCCGTTGAGCAATTTCCTCTGATTCAATCCAGCGCCCATCCCGATTCAATTCTCCCTTACCTCTAGCCCAAGTGCCAAAATTCAAGCATAACCTGTCATTTGAGAGTGTGAATGAGTGTACGAAACTCGGTTTGTACATCAGTCTGTACCATTTCTGGTTTATTTCAGAGAAACCGAGAATTAAAACATCAAATCACATGACAATCGCCTTTCATTGTATTTTTTTTTGGACCTGAATGCATTTCTAGTTCGACACCGGGCATGAAAGCATGTCACTTTTCACCGGACCATCTCGAGTGTTACTCTTGAGGTTCAAAACCAATCATGAAGCCCGTCACACCTTTCGCTCCATCGGTATCAGTCCTGCCAACAATTGAAAACTATAAGAAACGACTATATATACGTATAGCTCACAAAACGGGAGAATGTTGAAACCAATCCGCAGTTCTAGGGTGAAATCAGATAGAAATCAGTGGGATGTCTCACAGAGACAAACAATGCAAGCAAGTTATTCAGGTCACACATCTGGCTGGGATGAGGAGGACGATCATGAACAAAACATCCGTAAAACTTTGGGCATCAATTCCAGTCGTTCGGGCAAGACAGAGCTTGCGTTTCGACGGGGGGTGGGGAATAATGTGTGAAACTATTTTCGTGTACCCGGCAGCCACCACGATGCATCACTTCGACCGGATGTACTCGATCTGCTGCTTCAAACTCCTTCAAACTTCTTCCGCCGCATGACCGATTTGGGGAAGAGTGGATGTGTGACTTCTCAGAAATGGGATGGGGTCTACTTTACGACATATTCAACAGAGAACCCGCTCACCTGCATGAACAAGAGGAACAACAACATCCAACACACCTTTACAGGAAAGCGGGCGTAGAAAAATACATCTATCACACGGTTGTAATACCTCCTCTAAAATTCCTTTTTTTTTCTACGTCAACAATGATGACTCAGCAGTGCATCTTACTGGTATCGATTCAAAGTGTCTAGGACCTTAGGTACAGCACGAGGAAACTTATGAACAGGACTTGGGTTATGTACAACACACAAAAACCTTCATAAATCCACCTTTTCTCTGTGACATCGTCTACCAAGAGAACTTTCCCTCCCAGAAACAATTACTCAATCATTTCAATCGAATACAAAAAACGTGTGCATGAGGATCAAACAAGCGTCAGGCCAATATGTAGACAAGTCGTTAGGACAAGTGGCCGTGCATGTACACCGACGTCGCAAAGTAGACCTTGGTTAGGCGACAGACTGCCAAATTGGTGAACTTATTTCCACAAAGGTATGAGGAGTCGGAATGAGAGGGATCTGCGGACAGTCGCCGTCTCTCTGCCTGAAGTCTCAGTAACGCCCTCACAGGATCACTGGATCCTGGGTCACCTTCAACCTCGGGATCGCCGTTCACACTCACATCAAGCCAGGGTGACTTAGTATCTTGAAAGTTTGTATAACGGGAGGAAGAAGGGATTCCCTTCGTTTTCCCAAACAAGGAAGATGAAGAAGAGCTGCAATTCTCAGTTTGTATCACATTCCCCCGCCACGCGAGAATCTTCAGATGGCCGTGCTCTCAGCCGGGTCCTCTGGGCCACCTTTGGCTGTGATGGTGTTGAGCTTGTCCCCGTTGACCTTATCCCATGATTCAGGGTCGGTGCCTCCCATTTCGATGTCGTTCGGGTCCATGGTCGTGGCTTCGGGCATGGGGGTCTTGGACAGCTCCTTCTGGCTCAGGTGCGCCACGATCGCAGCACCCAGGCAGTCTCCCCATACGTTGATGGTCGTCCGGAATCGATCCCTGTTCCGAGGACATTCGCCGTGCAAAGACAACAGCTGACCACGAATGATGACCGATAGAAAGAAGGAACTCACAAAAGCCAGTCGACGGCCACGATGAGGGTGACGTCTTCGGGGGGTAGGCCGACCGTGTCCAAGACCATCACCAAAGTCACCAGCCCGGCCTGAGGGATCCCTGCTGCTCCTATACTTGCTGCTGTTGACGTGATACTGCGACAAAAAAAGAAAACAGGATAAGTGACGAAGTGAAACTAGATATTCGCGCGCTTCGGGTTCTGGAAGGGGAGGGGAAGGGATTGCATTCCATGAGAGAGAGACTAGAGGAGATGGGGTAGGCCGACTCGCGAAG